CACAGAAATTAGATCTGTTTATCCCACCATATAAAGATAGTGACTGGGGAAAAGGAAAATACCTGGTAGTATAGTTAGGAAGTGGCATCTGTACAACAATTGTGTTTGCAACAATGTCTGAAGGGAACTCTGCACGTACTTTAAGACTCACTTCAGCCTAAAATTTCAATAGCAAAGCGTAAATAATTGAATCAGGGATAAATGCTCAAGAATTTCAAATTATTCTAGAACTAAATGAATTAATTATATATGAACTAAGTTCTTTTAATCTTACTATTATTTTAGGAAATATTACATGCTTAGGGAAAATGGGAAAAAGCATATAATGAAACCATCATGATGCATGGAAGTCAAAAAAGACAAGCTCACCTTAAGGTGTCCTGCTTCTTCAATTAAACAGTTAATACGAAATGGAGGCTTGAATTCCTGTGTCATTCGGTAGTTCATGACAGGAAATTCACCATCTGGTGGTATCTGAAAGATGATAGCAGAATGAAAAATGTACTCAAATAATGTGAAGAGATTTAAGTCTCTTCAATCTCTGCACAACCTTCCGGCTGCAATCATATAAATTTCACTCACCAGTGCCAGAGTCCTGTCCATATCAAAACTGTCAAGACGCACTGATTCATGAAAATTACAATCATCAAGTATCACTGCCCCTGCACCAGATGAACTCCTATAATCTGCCACAACAAGTAGACCCAGTAGAATGACAAATCATTGGTTTGAAATATAGGGTGAAAGGTAGATACACAAAGTAGGTTAAACCAATATTAACAAGAACATTCACATCAAAGACAATAGTTGCAAGTTGGAACAAGTTTAGAATCACGGCTGAATATCATATACAATAATCCTGTGGAAACAACCTTAAAAGAATAACTTCATGAACCAAAAAACAATTATAATAAATGGCAATAGCGATTATTAAAAAATTATACTTTGCCACATATCAGTTAACTATTTGCAATGAAAAACTTGAAGGGAGCACCTCTATGTTAAGACAATTCTCAAAATGAAATAAGCACTAGGAATTTGAGAAGGCAGTACCATAGACAGATCCCCCTCCTCTTCCTATGCTCAGGTCTTCATTAAGAGCTAATCGAATTTCTGGATTTCCTGTCAGATAACTTTTCATTTGAATAGTGCCATCAATCTCGGAAGTCAATATATATCCCTGTTTAAAACATCATTGAATTAGTTACATTGGTTCATTCAATTATGCACTATATCATGGGAACATGTGTGCACGTGTGTGGACTGTAAACTTTTTGTTTAAAAAAAATCATTACCTGCAATAAACAACTGAAGAGAGAGAGAGAGAGAGAGTAAATGAACTTTGAACTTAATGGGGAGAGAAAGAACAGAAAGGTAATGTGAATAAACAGGTAAAAAAAAGTTAAAAAAAAGAGATAATATTAAACTAATCACAAAAATTTAATGAGACCCAGTTGGTATGACACCAACCCAACCAGCGGCTTTATGTACTAGTATTAGATTATAAAATGTCTAGCAACTAGAAATTTGCACACTTTAAATTGTTGGATCCAAATTAAAAAATTGCAGTTACTCACACTAGAGCTAAATGTGACACTGATTTTCTCAATTATATCCACAAAAATTTCCTCTCTCTTCCGACCTCCAGGCTCATTTGCTAGAACGGACTTTGTAACTGCAGTCCCAGGCATTCTTTTTGTTCCTTGCTGCATGCATCCAAATTTGAAAAATAAATTGCTTCATATGTGTATGTTGATAAAACAAGAGAGTACCATTTATACAAGGGTTGATAATTAGGTAACCTGATCATACCATAAAGATGGCAGCAGGGCCAAGAGGTTGCAAACGTGCAGCATCAACCACAATTGGCTCATTAAATATGTAAGACTTCAAAACTTCAGTAGATGTTGTTTGCACATACCCAAAGTCCTAGCAAAAAAAAAAAGTAGTGGGATCTTGTAAATCTTTTCAGAAGAACAATGCACAATTAAAGTAAAATATTCACCAGAGTTAAAAAAAAAAAAAAGCCTAGCATATTTCATTAGAGAGAAATGTGAAAACTTCTAATGCACAGATAGATTCTAAAATGCAATCTATTGTAAACTAATATTGACTTCTTCAGCTAAGCCATCATGTAATAATCCCTTGGTAGTTGGTTAAGAGCAGCAAGCCTTTTAAATAGAAGGAATATAACACTGAAAAGTTTCCTACAAAAAGAACTTACAATGACTTCGTCAAGCAACTCATATACAAGCACAAAGTTTTTCCGCAGTGAATCTTCATTTAGAACCCCTAAATAATCTTTAATGACACGAGCAACCCTTTGCAGAAGTTCCAGGATGAGAGATGGTGACACATTAACCCTAGTGGTTGCCACAAACAACAGCCCAACAACCTTCACATGAAAGTAGTTCACACCATCCACGTTCTATCAATGGAAAAGAATTATATAAAATTATTAGAGCATTGCACCAGTTTGGATACTATAATAATCAACTAAAATATGATTGTATTAAACCAGCAATTGATAACAAAAATAGGAGGTGAATGAATCAATCTAGAAACTGAAAATATCATGATGGATATTTAGAGATAAAAAACATCAATTACTCCACTCAGAGCATATCATTTGTTCAGCCTGACATTATATTCTTTAGTAAGATAATACCTACAAAGACAGGGGGCGCCTCCTCTTGTCCATCCTCTTTCCAAAACTTAACTTTACGGAAGAATATCTCCGCTGTTCCTTTAGCTACGTCACCACGATCTGTGGTAACAATTATTTATCAGTGTGAGTCTTGGGCTTCAAAAATCTTTCCATTCAATAGAATTAAATAATAGGAATATAATTGGAAATCAATATTATAAGTAATAATCTATAATTATCTTGCATTAATGTACATGCTTAAGTGCCAATCATGATAATTCAAATAAATGTAAAGAAATTTCCATAGGCATCATGAATTTCAGCATCCAGAAATTCCTATATAGTGTGCCAGGCCAATTATTCCTATTGATTTTACGGAAATTTAACATGCAAAATCAATTCAAAGCTTAAATCATTCATTTACTAGTAAAGAAGCATTAACAGCTGATCTAAATGGATTCGAGAAGCAAGGTTGAAACAAAAAAGGCAAAATTTGGGAGCTAAATCAGCATAAATTACAATTGAAATGCAGAATCCAACTGGACAGAGCAATGATCGAATATGAAATCATCCAGATCTATAAACTCAATTATCGCGCAGATTATTGAGAAAAACTTCAAAGTAAAGGATCTTATTGAAATTCCTATATCGCAAGCATTCAATTAGAAAATTAAAAAAAAAAAAAAAGAAAGAAAGTGAAGTTTAGATCCGGAAAGAAGATAAAGAAGAGAGTAGAAAGGGGAACTGACAATCCCGAAAAACTATGTTGTCGCCTCGCTGAGAGAGCACGAAGAACTGAGAAATCATGATTTCGGCTTTCGACTCGTCTCCCCGCTTTTCTTCTCTCTGTGAATTTACCCCTGATTTTGATTTTGTTTTGTTTTTGTGCAATTCTGATGTTTCGTTTTAAGCTTTGGCCGGCTTTTCCTCCGGTTTTTTCTTCTGTCCATTTGTGTTTTTTATTTTTGCCATAATTGCATTTGACCCCTCAATAATTTTAAAACTTAATTTTTTGCCCTTATAATTTAAAACTTTCTTTTTCACCCCATAGAAACATTAGTAATTGACAATCACATAGGTAATTGGAAGTTGAAACTTGAATTGGAGATTTTCCTTGTTTTTTACTTCTAAAAAAAGGGAAAAGTATAAGGTAGATGGCTTTTTTTAGTTTGTTTAATTATATCGATAGTGTAATTTGTTAATTTCACTAATGAAATTAAAAGATTATTATTTTTTTTAATATACCTTGTGACAACTAGTCTTCCTTATAGAATCTAAAACTTTATTCACTGAATAAAATAATTTCTCTTTTAAAAAATGTGAAAAGATTTAAGTTCAAGTTAGATTGTTGCCATACTCTTCCCTTGAAAAACCGTCAACTAATGAATTTTACCTATGTATGTTTTGTGCTTGCAAGCTGCAATAAAAGTTGGCAATCCTCAAAAAGTATACATTGTTGATCGAAACACAGGTGGTTTGCTGCAGCTTCTGTTCTTAACTTGGCAACTTGGACATTAGTAACCCAACTTTTGATAAAGCTGCAATGAGAAAGCTGAGCAGAAAATTTGCCATGAGACTAATGGTTCATAGAGAAAATCATTAAATTTACATCTAAATCCTGCATCGTCAATGAATGAACCTCCCAATCTGTTTAAAAAATGAAAGCTTCTTGTGCTCTCTTTATAGGCTTGTATATGTGGTTAGCATGCCTTTTTAAATCAACTCAAACTTGTTAAATACTAGTCCTAGAGCTTTTCAATGGAGTGTTTCCTGCATTTCAGATTAAGCATTAGCCTTAAACCATACAACAACCAGAAATTAGGCTTCATCGTGGCAGGGAAATGCATTTTTTCATAACCACGTAACTTAAATTATGGCTTCAAAGATAGAAATTTGGTATTCCAGAAACAGAGAACTTCATATATATCTTGCAGATAATCACTTACTTCAAGGGCAGCATTAGTTTCTGATGGTCCATTCTGTGAAAAGGAAAATAATGAACTTTTTCATATACTATGAAGAACAATTAAGGTGGATCATACGTTTTCCATGTTTCAATAACATGATTGCTTGAGCTGCTTTTGGATATTCATGAATTCCAGTTTCAATTTGAATTTCACTATGGCTCAATACCTCAAGTGGAGGAACCAGATTTGCAACATTTCGGATCATGAAGGCTTCTCCTGGTCGAAATCCAAGGATCCTAGATGGTTACCTGAAACCGTTTTTGAAGTTGCTAGTTAATTGGTCAAGTAATTCCATATATGAAGTGAACAGGATTATGTATTAAAAAATAATAATTAAAAAAAAAAAAACTTAGAAGAAGAATGCAACTGCTCCAACTCTTCCCCGCTTAAAATGGAAAATTTACTAGCAATACAAAAAAAAAAAAAAATCCTTTTTTTTTTTCTAATCAAGGAAAACCTCAATTGTAATCTCTATTGTAATCTAACTGCTAAGTGGGATATTCAAATGCTTGTGCTGTTTAAAACTCAGAAATCTCTGTTTCAACTCATCAGACAAGTGCAGCCTTTCACCAGAATTATTTTCATTTTCCACTTTAGGGCCTGTAAAATCTTGTAGTTCATTGGAACTGCTTGACGCCTTCAAAGGTGAAACTGGGGGCTTCCTGTAGATGGAGAAGGCTATGATTCTTGTAGGTAATGCAAAAGTAAAAATGGGAAAAGAAATTCTGAGGAGCTAATATCTTAGAATAATCAAAACAACAGAATTGAAAATTCCCGTACCTGTGAATGAAGCCATTTTCTTATTATACCGCATACAAAGTGATCAGGAAGATCGGAGAAATGTGAGCAATGAAAAGAGTCGACCGGTGCCCGGAATAGCCTTGTTGCTGATACGAGCAATCGACCTTTGGAGCCTGAATTTTGCGTTTAGTTGTCAGAAAATTAAACCTTTCATCAATATATGCTCATTGAATTTATGATTATTAACTCAAAAAGTTTTTTGTGGATAAAGATTATACTTACGGATTAACCAGACCATTTCTCTTCCTGCCTTCTCATTTGCTAAGTTCAGACACCTTATTCCTGTCTTTCTCTTTTTTTTTTTTCTCATATGCATATGAATTTGTATATTCGTGATAGTGTTTAATTAAAATATTAATTATCATAACTTATGTTTATATAAAAATATAAAATATTTTTTTTATTTTATTAAAATTTTAAATTTTATATCTTTTTCGTATCTTTTTATTTCATATTATTAAATCATATTTTAAATTATTAAATTTACAAATACTAATATATTGGAAAAAGATAATATATGTTAAAATTAAAATAATAATTGAGTGGGTGACGAAGACAAGCAAAGCATGTTTATCCAAGCAAATCTTACAAAAGCATCAAACAAGCGGCTTATCCATTTTCTCTAGCAATAAATTTCTTGTAAGAATATAAGAACCTAGTAATCAAATAATACTATACAAGAGATGCCAACTTTTGTGTTTTATTTCTGTTTTTTTTTTTTTTAAGACATCAAAGATCATAACATGCTTTTTTTTTTTTTTGCTGCTAAATGAATGAAAATTATTTCAAAAGTTTTGAATTATATGTAGGCAGACACAATGTTACAATGTTAGAAGATTTTTTTTTTTTTGTTTGACAATTTTAAGGACAAAAGGACTCATGTGAGCAATTTGGAACTGATGTCATGTTTCTTTTGTTCGAAACATGTCAAAACTTAATCATTATGCTTGACACTTCTCTACACAAAAGCATAACTTCTCACAAGCCTCGAATACCCTCTTTCATTTTTGCAACCTAAGGTATGCTAGAGCTGGGATTAACAAACAAGAACCAAGTAATTAGACAAGCATGGCTTTCTCATAGTACACAAAGTAGAAAAAACAAAAAATCGGCTTAAAAAGTATAAAAAAATTTTGAATTAAAATTAAATAATCATTTATTGCTCATATTTTTCCATTGTATCCAATTGAATTTTTAATGATTTATTTTTATTTAATTAAATTTTTATTAGACGAAATTTAATTAACTATCAATTGATATTTTCGTCCAATCAATATTTAATTTAATAAAAATTAATATTTGAAAGTTCAATTATTTACAATAAAAAATAAAAATTTTAATTCATTATTTTTATATTTACGCAAAAAAAAAAAAAAGAGAACCAAGCATATTTTGATGTAATGTCAAATATGAAGATAACCAATTCAAAACCCCTTAGCAATAACTAATGAAGCCTAATTTCAAAAAAAAAAAAAAAAACCAATGAAGCCTCTCTCTTATACTATAAAATAAACCAAATTACTCAAAATTTAATTATATTAAACCTTGTGGTTTTTAAATTAAGTAAATACTAGTTTTCCATTTTAATTTCGCTTAATATATACAACACATAATTAGATTGCGTAGCAAAAACCCATCAACAAAATCAAACATTGCTGCCAACCAAAAACCCATGACCACTTTCATAATCCGACCCAAAAACTCGAGCCCGTTTACTTCCAATCACTTGGGCCATCCCAGAAACCCGATTCTCCATCACAGCCCTCAAAGCCCGTTTCAATGGCCCAATCTCCTCCTCATCACCGCTCCATTGCAACACGACAACGCTCCTGGTCCGCCCACCAATCGTCGTAATCTCAGCCCGGACCACCTTAGCCTGGAACGACCTGATTACCCGACTCAAATCACGGTTCAAACCTGGCCTATCCTCGCAGCAAACCGTCGCCTTCAACAACTTCTCTTCCTCTTCATAAAAACTCAAAGTCGCCTCGTCGCCTTCCCCTGGAAATGGCCACGACTCAAGCTCTGGTCGTTGGCTGTTACTGCAACCACCGTCACCGTGACGCCGCCCCACGTCTTCAACTTGCCTCTTTAGCTCCCTCACATGATGGACAACCTCCGCCAGCAACGAAGCCTTATCCGTCTGTCCAAAAAAACCCACCAAAAATTCAAAAAAAAATTAAATGACGTTAATGTAATATAGAGTAGAAATGTAGAATATTTATATATTTATTTCTTTAAGAACCTTGGTGGTGTTGGGGAGGAGAGAACGGAGAGTGGAGAAGTGGGCATTGATACGCTGCCGGCGTCTCCTTTCAGCCTCCTTGTGACTCTTACAGGCTTCCGTTGATTTTCTCTCCGAAAAAGTCTTGATGGAATCTTCACCCTCCGTTAAGTTGATCGGGCTGTCGTTGTTCTCAAACCCACAAAAACTCTTCAGAAACATTTTTTCCTGACGAGACGAAAAGAGGAAAAGAGAATGAAGCCAGAGACGAGAGAACTGTGGTGGTGTAAAAGAAGACGGACACTTGTTTTTTTTTACCGCTGCTGCTGATAATGACTGTTAATAAATGGTGAATAATCGGTATCCGAGGTGGGACTTGTTAGAGTTTAAAAAAAAAAAGAAAGTTGGAACTATTAGTTAAAAACAGAATACTGGTCAAAACTGAATTAACTAGTAATTGAGCATTGATTCGTTTGGGAAATTTGACTGTTAATTGACTGAAATTCTACAATGAAAAAGAAAGGGACGTGGGGCCAATTATCTTGAAAGGCAAACTTGGCACGGCTGCGCCGGCATCTAGCATTTGCCCGAGGAGGAGCCGAATCATCAAAATGATGCTGCAGCCGACAGTGTATTCGCTTTATTCACTGCTTCACTTTCACACACCTTCCCTTGTTTCGATCTTTTCCTCTCTTTTTTATCGTCGCTGGGTACTGCTCTAACTGCGTATGTTGGTTACTTCAACACGATATAATCATTGTTATGTTGATCAAAGCCTGCTACTTTGAAGCCATGTCTGATGTATGTCAATGCGTCAGTCAGGTTAATCTGCAACTTGTTTTTATGTTTCCATCTTTAATTTGCTTTCAAATTAAAGAGCAAAAGGTACAGTAATTTGTTTTTTAACAGCTTAATTTGGCGATGTAATCCAAAAGAAGTCAAGACCCTTCGGTTTTTGCGTATGTTTAGTTGGAAAAATATTAAGATGATATTTTTTAATTGAAATTTATTAAATTTTTTATTAAATTATTTTTTAAATTTCATAAATTTCTCTCAAAAAAATTTCATATAAATTTATATCAGTGACAGAAGATGGGACAAATTTTTTTATTGAAAGCAGGAAAAAAATTGACGAAGTGGACATTCTGTAAAAAATTGCATGCGAGTGTTGGGTGGACCCCATCAGATCCTGATTCCTGAAGACTGTGGAAAGGTGAGATCAACATTCAACTTCTGTGATGGCAGTGACCGCGACGACATTGGCGAGACGATCTCCGTTCCTGTCCTAACATCTTAAACCCCATGAACATGACATTTCCTCGCTGCAATCGGCATATTCTAGGGGCCAACTTGTGACTAGTGCTAGCTTGGCATCAATTAAAATTTATTGTTTCTACGTACAATCAATTCATAAATGGAGGTACAGGATTTTTATAAAAAAAAAAAAAATTTAATTTTTAAACTCTATGAAAATAAAAATTTAACTTGAGGAAGTGAATAATATATTTGATAATTTAAAATATAATATAAATATAAATTAAATTTTTAATAAAAATTTAAAAAATATTTAATATTTTTTATTAATAAAATTATATAAAATATGATATAAATATATAAATTATATATATTTTTGTATTATACTAATACTCAGAACTGCTAAGTGAATAATATGCGAAAGAGAAACTGCATTTTGAGTTATTAATGCTAGTAATTTTACCAAGAAGGAAAAACAAAGAAGATCAGACTGACGCCAGGCAGAGTCTGGTGACATCCTTCCATATTCCACTGCCAAGCCCCAGGGCTGTGTGGGACCAACGTCAGAACACCGTGTTTGGATTACTCTTCTTCTTACAAAACTAAAAGTTGAATTCCACAGTCAACGAAAGAATTAAAACGAAAAGGGCAAAGCAAGATTGTAAGAGATGGGACATTGGTTCCCTCAAGCAGCAAAATGGAAGGTCCTTTAAAGGCAAAAGGGAACTTCAAACAGTGTTTTCAAACTTATGGATGTTCCAAAAGCTGCTCACATTTGTGAATTATGTGCAAGCAATGGCTCTTAACACTTTTTCATCTTTGGTTCCTTTATAACCAATTCTTCACTTCACCCTCTGAGCTTCGCCAGGAAAAAGCGCAAATCAAAGGCGTCAGCAAAAGCACAAAAAAAAGAGAACAAAGAGACTGAAAACATGGGGAGAAAAGCGAAATTGTGAAAGACTAGAAAAAATCGCAGGGCGTTTATACTGTTTGCCGGAAGCTTAAGTCTTTATAAATATCTTTGTTCATATAATGACATGCAAGTAGATTTCGCTGTTCTCCTTTCAATTCTTTTCTTTTTTGTTCATCGTTTTATGAGTAATTTTACCATTTTTTTATCTTTAATGGCTTAGAAGAAGATGGTCTTTCATGAAAGGTGTTAGAAATATTTTTAGGTTTAAAAGGTATTCTGATCAATTTTTTTAATTAAAGATTATTAATATTTTAAAATTTTGAATCAATCTTATATATTTAATATTATGTCAATTCAATAACATTATCATTATGCCCCATGAACTCTCAACTTCCGAATATTATCAATTCCTTCATATACTACTAATACTTTTTTTTTTTTTTTTCGACTTCTTTCATATTAATTTTTTACTTAAACGTCCAAATGCAAACACTAAAAACATCTCATGCATTTATCTTTAACCGATTTCTTCTTTTCCATGTAATTTCAAGAATTTATTCTTCAATTGGAGCTCAGCACCGTCAAAAGGTAAGTGGGCTTGGGGAAAAGTATGGATTCTGCAGCTGGTATCAGCCACGATTCAAATTAGTCAACCTAATTTCTGCTGCTCACAAGTCACAATCTAATTGATACTCCTAACCGTACCCTTCTCTCTCGCTGCTCTTCCGAATCTGCAGCAACATGTGAAACCTTTGATCCCGCTTGGCCCCACATTTTAGTCTGCTATTGTGCACAAAACAAGTGATTGCACCTGGTGAGTGATCCTCTATTGGCTTTGATGGAAACAGCATTTTAATTCTCTCAATGGCCTGGCACATAAACTTCGGCTCTTTGAGTCTGTTTCAAATCATTTCAAGTTAATATTCATCAAGTTCCCCAGAAAAACCTTGTTATCAGTTAAAGTAGGAAGAAAGCACAAGGCCAACTATGGAGTCTACAGGGGAATTCATATCTGTTTTTTTCAACAAATCCTCGATAGTATAACATCTGCCAGCCCAAATATCATATCTCTGGGTCATTCAACAGCTCACTAAAAAGAAACGACTGCAAAAACTTTACCTAAAACCAAGTACTTGTTATACATTACATTGCCATCCTTTAGCAAGCTAATACGCTTGAAATCTGAACAGAAGTCTAAGAGGAGAAACTGAAAATGGAGCTAAATGGATTTAACTAATACAAGCGTATAAAGCCGTTGGATATCTGCTTTTACTAGCTCTGTCATATGGAGTTTCACAGCTGTTAACATGAAATGACTCTTGAAGTCAATTCTTCCTCAAATATCTGCAGCAACAAGAAGTGTTAGATATGGAGCTAAAAACCTCCCCAGTTTACCTATTACCCGATTTCTTATAACTCGAACTTGGGCTAAAGGAAACTCTGTTTCCTCAACAGTTCAAATATGGTATATACACACACCTGCAGTTGTGTTGAAGATATCAGTAAGAACTTAATATTTATATGACAAATTCACAACAAAAACAAGTTAAACAGATTATTCCAGCACTGCTGTCATCATTAATATTCATTTGCAGTTCGTAAGTAATGAACCAACATTTCAATTTGCAATATGAGAAAAAAAAAAGCAAACAAACAGGACTGCTGCTAATAACAAAACTATGGTAATGTTCTAAAACATCTCCTATTTCACAATTGTGGGAAAAAGTCACCGCCAACATCGTTGAATTTTAACCATATTATCCTACAAAACAGAGGAAGATGAAAAGATCAACTTTAGTCCAAGAACCTAAGGACTAGAGAATGCATTGATTCAATCAAATGGCAACAACAAAAATTGCTCCAAATCAAAACTGAAAGAAATTGCTGACTTGACACTGCTGAAAATATCATAATGTTACATAATCACTTATGTGGCAGTCAGTACATGAAAACAATCTACAATCTACAAACAAAATAATTAACAGCAGCTACAACAATACCTACAAATTCCACCCAACATGGCAGAGTTCAGCCTCAGCCTTATCCTTCCTTCTCCATTCATTAAATCCCGCTGCCTCCATCCCGAAAACTCCTGCATTATGGTTAGGTTCCTTCTAAACCAAAGCTAAAAAAACCATATTGCATTACCGATCAAACCTCACAGCGGATTCTTCCTCGGCCTCCCTCTCTTCCTTGGGGCGAAATCGGACACGTTCCCACGCGAAACACCCGCCACATTATTCCTACTTGCTACCACCTTGTTAGTGGCGGTGGTAGGAGCAGCTGCTGGGGTTGTGGAAGCGGCGGCTGCTGGCGGTGGTGGAGCTGGCACACTACCTCCATTTCTTTCACTCCCCTGCTGGCCTCCAGGAAACATAGGAGGCATCCAATTGGGAAACGCAGTCGGCGGTTTTCCTCCACCCTCCTGACTCCCAAACACAAACCCTAACGGAAAAAAAGCCCAGCAACAATAATATGCTTCTTTTCCCGGAACCAACGGCGGCAAAGTCGGAATCAAAACCGCATGAAAAGCTCTCTCACAACTGTGGCACCTTAAACAACAACCTTCGTAAACCCTAGGATACTCAAACAATCTATAACAGTACGGACATGCTGTCCAAAAAGTTGACAATCTTAACCTTTGATTCTCATTTTGCGTCTTCCAATTTGGCGTGCAGTATTGCACGCTCTCCTGATTTTTCCCTCTTCTCGTGACTGCTAATTTCCCTGCCTGATTCGAACTATCGCCGGCGCTGCTTAAATCAATCCTCGTAAACAAGCCCAATTCTTTGTCGTAAAGATATTTTTTGGAGCTGTCAGATAAAACGGCCCATGCATCGGCTACGAGCTTAAACGCGTGATCGGCGAAAGAGAACTTATTTTTGTCGGGGTGGAGAAGGAGAGCTAGGCGACGATACTGTTTCTTGATGAGATCGTTGTCTTCGGATCGTCGATCGATTTGTAAGATGGAGTACCAATCGTGGTGGTTGTTTATTCTTTTGTCTGCGGCGAGGAGCACTTCGACGACGGCTAGGATCTGATCTGACCCGTCCAAGAGGGGTTCAGTTTCTTGGGCTAAGATTGCAAAGTCTCTTGAACCGTTGAAATCCCGGTTTTGGAGAAGCTTCTCGGCGATTCCTAGAAGGCGTATGGCTTCGGCTCTGCTGCCGTTCTCCTCCATTTCCTAAGGCTCTGTTTGCAGCGTGAGAAAACGATGGGATTTTCGATTTTATTTGGCTTTGTTTTGATAGTTTGTTTATGATGGAATTTCGAACCTAAATGACGGAATTGGTGTTAACCGTTTCTTCAAATTACAAAGAATTTTAAGATTATTGAAGGGGTAGTGTGGGTGTTTTTGGTCTTTTTATCAGGAATCATAAACTTTCAGACAGGAATATATTATTTGGAGGGAACAACAAAGTACTTGTACGTCTTTGATGTTCGAACTGTCAGTTACTGTGATTTTGGTGAAGTGAAACTGAACTCAGTTTCCCCGCCGTAGATTTTACACCTAGAGCTTACTTTTTACCGCTAACCATTATAATAAAAATACTTAAAAGTTTTAAATCAATTCCCCCTTTTACAAAAAATTTTGCTTTAGGTTTATTCGATTTTTTTTTTTTTTTGGCTATGGAGGATTTATTCAAATTTTATTTTTTTTAAAATGCTGCTAGATGCTTATGGTCACGGGAGGTTAAGAAAATTTTCTTTTTTTCTTTTTGCTTTTTCACATTAAGGGAGGGCATGTAAGCACTTTGTTCTAAACAATTAAAGAGTTCGAACCAAAAAAAAAATTCAGGCTTAAATTTTAAGATTTATTTTAATTTATTTATATAATTATTTTCAATATTTAATATTTAATAATTTTAATATTTATTATCTCATTTTTATAGTCACTGTAAATTTTTTATATTTAAAAATTAAATTTACAAATTGTCATTATCCAGTTTCTCATGAACCGAGGGACACTCTTAACTGTTAAAAAATAATAATTTGTCAGTTTAATATGAGATGAGTGAAGTACCTGCTTTCGTTGTATAGCCAACAGTGTTGTGTAGGGAAAAATATAGGAGTTATGAAGGGCCATCTGCGGGAGGGTGCAAATTACAACTCTACCACGAAAGGCCGTGCCCGACGAAAAGGCATTAAATAAGAAGAATTTTATTTATATCTCATTTATTGTTATATAAATTTTATTTTTAAATACATCTTTAATTTTAAATTTTAATTTTTTATTCACATTACACATCCTCATCCTTCATTTTTTATTTTTTATTTTTTATTTTTATTTTATTCCTTTTCGATTAAAAAAATTCTAAATTCATTACATTAATCTCAAATCACCTGTATTTTTTAGTTTTTTAATAATTAAAAGTAAATTTTTACCTTATTTTTAATTGATTTTGGTTAAATTATGTTTTTGATTTAAGGTTTGAGGTAGAATTTAAGTGAAATCTAACTTTTAAAAAATTGATATCTAATAAATTTTAAGATTTTTTGAAAATGATTTAATTAAAAAATTAATTTTTAAGAAGTTTTAAAGCTTATCGGATATTTATTTTTGAAAAACTTGATTAATAATGATTTAATTTAAAATATATACATTTTATAAATCTATTTATTTGGTTATGTATAGAATAGATATAATCTATTTGTTTGATTATATGTGAAAAAGGCATAATAATTCTTATTTGACATAATAATTTGGCACCGTGAATGACCTTAATAATATCAATATTTGATTAACAAATCCGAATTTAAATAATCACACCTAAGAGAAATCATTAGAGATTTGATTAAAGATCTTAATAAAATACGTCGTCGGAGCAATGTTTCTTATGGTACAAAATGATTAAAATCCACTTAATTGTACCTAATGCAACAAAAAATTTGAAATACTTTATTTTCTTTAGTTTTTGCTTTAAAATTATTGGTTTTTATTTGAAATGATAGAAAAATATTTATACAATTTAAATACTTAATTTATGATTAAAATTTTTTAATATTATTTATTTTAACATTAAATGTATTTATTTTATTTAAATTAAAATTAAATGTTATCAAGAGTTTATAATTAAATATATATTTAAACAAAAATTTATATATTTTAAAAATAAATTTTCAAAATACAATATAACTATTAAAAATTCAATTCCGATAATGCAATTAAATACTTAAAATTTTTCTTGATAGGAAACCATTTATGCGTTTGAAATATTTAATTTAAGATTAAATTTTGTTAGTATTATATATTTTAATATTAAAATATTTTTTATTGAAATTAAAATTAAATGTTATCAATAATTTATAATTAAATATATATTTAAAAAATTTTATATATTTTTGAAAATACATTTTTAAGAATTATATTATATATTCAAAAACTAATTTTTGATAGTTATATTGTATTATTATAAATTTATTTTCAAAAATATAATATAATTTTCAAAATTTTTATTTTCAAGATTTTAAGTTTTAGTACACGTGAAAGAGGATATTTTTATCATTTAATAAAAATAAAAATTAATATTTATTATATGAATATTTTTGAAAAAAAAATTTGTGATATATTTAAAAACCACCTTAAATAAAACCGGGGTACAACGAGGATGCCAATATTTATTTATTAAATTAAAGGCGGACGTGATCTTCTGAACTGTTGAGTTGAGCTGTCTTCCCACTTTAAATTGTGTTCCTTTTGTTTTGGTCGTGCGAAATGGACCCAAAGGTTAACCAAGCCAACGAAACCTAGGACCACCTCGGCCGATGATCAGACCCCTCCAGATTTATTAAAGGAGTTTTGACAATTCTAGGTCCGTTGCTTTTCTGACGACGAATCCTGGCAGTGACAATGCAGGTGGCTGGGAGGCTCTTCCCTTTTATAGATCTGTGGTTAAGTTGTACATGGGCCATCTCTTTGAGAGGCAATGGACCTTTGTAAAATGTTGTAATTGCATCTATTCATTCCCAAGTGTAAGCCCGTGATTATTAGCCGACAAAATCATAATTCATAAATCCTTTCCCTCTCATTTTATATTGATGGTTGAAGAGACTGAAAACTAAAATTTATATAAAGTTATTTAGGTAAATTTTGTGGTTTTTTTAAATAATTTAATAAAAAATTTAAATTAATAAATTAATAAAATTTAATGTGAAAATTAATAATATGTACAAAATTTATTAAAATTATTATTTATAATTTAAATTTAATCAATATATATTTAACGGTAAAAATTATGTTAATATTTTTATTAAAATATATATTTAAAAAAATATAATTATTAATTTTTTTTTACATAATTTATATAACGAGATCTCTTAATATCTAAATTTTGATTTTCAATTTTAAATTTTATATAATCATTTTTAGTAAAAAATCTCATAAATTTTACTTAAAAATCTTTAAGTATTTTCTCGGTTTAAAAAGGATATGAAAATGTTGAATTAATGATAATATTTATAGTTGTAGTGAAAAAAAATGCATTCTTGTGATTGAAATCACATCATAAAAATGATTATGCCTTATTTTTAAAGCGAAATTCAAAGAGAGAAAAAAAAATAAAAAAGAAGATTTATCCGTATGAAAAACAACCATGTTTACATGGACCATGTAGCATTAATAAAATTTGTTATCAGTCATGAAGAGCATTAACAATGCTCTAGATTATAGGCAAAAAATAATCCCATGATCCCAAGTTGTGTCGTTAAAACAAAGCAATTGCCCACCTCAATGGTTATGTCATATGCAAATTTTAGTTGTTGGAAAGTGGCATGTCATGAAGAACTATTTTTGGCTTATATCATACATCCTTTTTATCTTGTAACTATATGAGTTTCTTTCTCTCTTTCAAAGTGTTGAAAGAATCTAACAACAGCGAATATTACTAAATTTTAATTATTTCTTAGCCTAATTAATGTTGGTCTAATGTTTTTTTTTTTTAATTGAATTGTCCAAGAAAGAATTGTACTGGAAATTTAAAAATATATTATATTAATAAGTAGATTTTTTTCTAATAATTTGTGGGCTGCGCATGCACTCGATACGGCGACAAGTGGGATTTAACAACTGAAAACGAAGAGGAAGCTGTCGATTCCTTGTGTTCATCGCATTTGTTTGGCTATATCTTTCAAATGTGCTTTGACATCGATTTTAAAAATACTTAAATGGGAAAAGTAAAAATAAAAAATAAAGAAAGTTATATCCAGCTCATTTCCATCAGCAGTGCCTTGAGCAGCTTAATGATCGACTTGGTTTTTATTTTATGCTTAAAACGAGCACCCTCGTGCTTTGTGCTTGTTTCGTTTTATTTATTAAGATTAATGGAATTAGCCAAACTATCTTTCAGGGCTAGCGACTAATATATATATATATATATATATATATATATATATATATGAGTGATTAATTTAATTGATTAAAATTTATTTTTTTAATAAAAATTTTTAAATTTATATTTTATCGATAATTATTTATTAAAATTATTTTGAATATATTATTTGTAATTATATATATTAAATTATTAAATATAATATATTTTATTTTAATATAAAAAATGAAACAATTTATTTATCTCAAATTTTTTTATCAAAAAAAAATTAAACGTATATATAATTTTTTATAAGATAATGTTACATATAGTCTTATATATAAATTATACACATATATATTTTTAATTTTATTTTTAATTTAATTTGTATATACATAAAATTGATGTAATTATTACGTGTTATTTTATACATTAGAAAACAAGTAGGGCAACCAAATCAACTAGCTGGCCTTTTCTTGATTAATTATAGCCAAAGAAAAAAGTGTATTGATCCTTCTCTATTTTTCTAGAACTAATGTAATTTCTAGCTAGATTAATTTTTCTAACCTTTCCTACCTAGCAAGTTTGGGTTTGTGAGAATTGGGTAGTGCTTGAAAATAGTGTAGTGAAAAATGCTTTTGTAGGTTAATTATTTTTTATTATAAATCGACCATTTCATATGGACCATCTCCACTGGTCCACTACTTTTATCTTTTTAACTATTATTATTATTACACCACAATTAATAAGATGCAGCTTTTATTATTGGGAATTAATTATTTACATTTTATCATTTATTAAAATTATTTTAAATATATAATTTATAATAATTTATTTTAAATTATCAAATATAACAAATTTTATTTTGATTTAAAAGATTGAATAATTTATTTATTTTAAATTTAACTGATCAAAAAAATTTATTTATACTATTTATTTAATTAATTAAAGTAAAAATAAAAAATTACCACAATTATTAACATTAAAATTTTAAAATTTTATAAATAAAATTCGCATAATAATATTAGAAGTGTAAATTATGATTCATGAA